AAGCCCTTGTGGAAGCCCCAGCTCTCCATCTTCCTGATTTGTCGAAGCCCTTCTCATTATACATTCATGAGAGGTCCAGTCAAGCTCTAGGAGTCCTAGGCCAATATTATGGCCCATCCTTTGCCCCAGTAGCTTATCTCTCCAAGCAATTAGACCCCACAGTTCAGGGATGGGCCCCCTGCCTACGAGCATTAGCCGCTAGACAGCTCTTGCAGAAAGAAGCTCATAAACTGACATTCAGGGCGCCCCTTACCATTCTGTCCCCACATCACCTAAAAGATCTCTTAACCTACAAAAGTTTACAGACTCTCCCTCCCTCCAGACTCCTGACCTTACTGTCCTCTTTCCTCCAAAATCCCGTTCACCCCCTTTGCCATCCATACCCGAATCATGACTTTTTCCTCCTTTACTGCTCTCTCGCTTTTTTTCCTCATTCCTATTGTCTTCCCCACCACCCCAGCCTCCTTTGTATGGCGATTCAAAGTCAGACAGACTTACACACAGCATCAAACAAAAGTTACTGCCCTCATTGCCACACCAGACTGCCCTCTGAAAAGCTGCTCTGAGCCTTTATACCTCCACTTTCCTCCCTCCACCGAAGTGTTCACTAGCAGCTACCCTTATTCTCCCTACCTCTGCTTCCTCTATGACCAAAAACAAGCCTATTGCAGGCGATGGCCAGATACCTACAGGAGATGTCCCTACTGGTCTTGCACCATTCACTACATAGGTAACTTCCAGTACCCACAGTATTACTCCTCCAACCGTTTCATGAAATATCCCAACGGCTCATTCTCCTTATCAATCCCAGATCCCTGGGACTCTCGATGGGCTGCCAGAGTCACAGCCTCAGTTTACTACGGGGGGTCCTCGACCCTCCACAGTACCCTTCATATCTCTCGAAAGTATGTTCCCTCTCATTCCCAGATCTCTCAAGTTGCATCAGATATCAGACATTCCGAAAAAGTCATTATCCAAACTCTTGATAGCGCCTCTTCATCTTCTTATCCCCACCCCTCTTCCCATTTCTCCTACTCTTCATTACAGCTCATTCAGGACACCACCATCTTTCTCAACCACACCCTTAACACAGCCAATTGTTTCTTGTGCGCATCACTACAGCGCCCACTGCTGGCCGCCGTGCCCCTTAATATTTCCAACTACTCCTTCCATGCAGAAAGACAACCCCTCTGCCCCCTGGCAGACATACCCCTATGGGAACCAGAATACGCAGATAATCTCACCATCCACCACTGTGTAGGCCCAACTCCACCCCCCTCCAGCGCACTTCACTGCCTCTCTATCTACACCCCTACCTCCGGCTCTAAGACTTTTACGCAACCGGGACACTTCTTTTGGTGTAATGGCAGCCTTTTCAACTCACTACCTCTCAACTCCGATACACCCTGCATTCTCGTCACCCTAATCCCACAGCTTACACTTTACAGCATGGCAGAATTCCTTGAGCTCCAACCTCCCTTGCCCTCGCGCACAAAAAGAGCTGCTTTCCTTCCCATCATGGTCTGTATCTCTTTGATCACCTCAGCCATTGGGGCAGGGTTTTCGGGAGAAGCCTTGGGTCACTCTCTATGGGCAGTTAGAGATCTCAACACCAAACTTGAGGGAGCCCTGACATCCACTGCCGATTCCCTAGCCTCTCTTCAAAGACAGGTCACTTCGCTAGCTAAAGTCACCCTTCAAAACTGGCGGGCCCTAGATCTGCTTACAGCCGAGAAGGGTGGCACCTGCGTCTTCCTATGGGAAGAGTGCTGCTATTACATCAGTGAATCCGGCATTGTAGAAACTGATATTACCAAACTCACCGACCTTGCCTCCAGTCTCCACTCTGCTTCCAATTCCAACCCATTCTCGTCAATACTAACAAACCCCCTCCTCACCTGGCTCTGGCCCATCGCAAGCCCCATAATAATCATTCTTCTCGCCTGTCTCTTCTTACCCTGTATAATAAAGTTCATCAAATGCCAAGTCGAAAAAATCACTAATCAAGCTTTCAACCAGCTTTTACTCAAGAACTACCAGCTTCTGGCCACAGAAGATCCCTCACCCTCACGTGACCTCCTCACCACACACTGAGATGGACCCCTCTCTCCACTGGAAACTGTTCCTGGAAACAATGGCTGCAGATGCCTAGCTCCTGACACCCATATCCTCTTGGCACCATTGGAATCAATAGGTCCTCGATCTATGGTTACAGGGAACCTTCATTGATTTCCAAACCTGAAGAAGTCCACATCTACTCATCCTTACTGTGGGGAATCCTATCAACCCTTTCCTCCCAATCCTCAAACCCTCACTCCCTTCTCCGCCCCTGTTCAGCAGGAAGCAGCCAGAGAGAAAGCAGCATCCACAACCCCATGGAGGAGAAAGGGGGGAATGAAGGGCCCCCACCAGTAAGATGGCAAACTTCCGGCTTCTCTTCGGGGTCCTCGGTTCCCGCTGGTGCCACATGAAGCCCAATCACCTCTCGCTCCCCTCCCAATCCCAGCACCTACCCAACAGCCACCAGCCCCGTAGAAGTGACACCTCAATCAATTCATGCCCCTTCCTATATATCCCAGCACCTTTCCCTAATAAAGCGGAATTCTACGGTGAATTGCTGCTGTGTGTCGCTCCTTTCCTTTCAACTAACAAGTTCTGTAAGAGCTTTTTTAAAATACAAAATAATTATCTTACAGTAGTGAAAGTGGTTGTTTTTGGGAAGGAAGATACTGAAGTGCAGGGGGCTGCTGTTTTTAAAAACTAATCTTGTAAAGCCAATTTCTTATACTATGTACATAAAAACTATAATTACAAATATTATTTTAAGTAGATACGGGTGTTATCTGTGAACAGGAGGTAAGTGAAACCAGAAGAATAGATAGACTGAGAAAGCAATGGAGGACAAAAGGAAAGCATCTGAGATCAAATCCTAGAATATGCCCATCATCCTATCTATATTGACAGCTAATTGAGTAAACCAATACCAAAAATAAGCAAACATTTGTTTCAGTTTGAAGTTCAGGTTCTTTATGAAGTATTGTTCCCTAATTTGGCTCTTGTTGTATATGATGAAAACATATAAAATATCTTTTAAGTACCTATTTTTTTTACTTATTTGCAAAGAGTAAGAACATTGATTCTAACAGTTTATGAATATAGTATTAATTTAATATGGTGGTAGAAATACTAATATTGTTGAGTCAAAATCTGTAGCTATTCAGATTTTTGAAGTCTGTAATGGAATTTGTTCTTACCCAGGGGTGACGTTCTAAAGTTAATGCATAGGGAAATGCAAACCAAAACCACAATGAGGTACTGTCAGAATGGCTACTAGTCAAATGACAAGAAATAACAAGTGTTGGCGTGGATGTGGCGCAAAGGGAACCCTCCTACACTGTTGATGGGAATGTAAATTGGTCCAGCTAGTGTGTAAAATAATATGGAGGTTCCTGAAAACACTAAAAAATAGAAGTACCATAGAAACCAGCGATTCTATTTTTTGAGAATTTACCTGAAGAAAACAAAATCACTAATTTGGAAAGATAAATGCTCACCTATGTACAATAGCAAAGATATGGAAGCAACCCAAATGCCCATTGATAGATGATTGGCTAAAGATGTGGTACAGATACACAATAGAATATTATTCAGCAATAAAAAAGAAGGAAATCTTGCCACTTGTAACAACTTGGATGGACCTAGAGAGTTAGGGTATCATGCTAAGTGAAATAAGCCCGGCAGAGAAAGGGAAATACCATGATTTCACTTATATGTGGAAGGTAAAACACAAAACGAGGAAGAACTGGTCCCATAAATATTGGCAACAGATTGTTGGTTACCATAGGAGAAAGTTTTGTGTGGGTACACAAAATAGGTGAAGGGGATAAAAAAGAGGTACAAGCTGCAAACTATAAAATAAGTTAGTCATAGGAATGGAAGTATAACAAACGGAATATGACCAATAATATTGTAATATGTTGGTATGGTAATAGGGTAAGTACACTTACCTTAGCAAGCATCTAATCATATATATAATTACCGAGTCACTATGTTTTACATCTGAAGCCAATATAATATTGTATGTAAATTTTCTAGCAATTAAAAAAAAAGTTGCCAGCTTAGTGATCTGCTTATCTGAATGTGTTTCTGCAGAAATTTAGAGAAAGTTGTCAATAGTAAAGCCATGTTAAAAGCCTTAAGACATTGAGGGCATTAGGTCCCTGAAAATGGCTACCCAAAAAAAAATGTTAATGCATAACGTGAAGCTCTAGTATAGTTATGGATAGGTTGGAACTAAGAACAATTGAGGAAACTTCAGGTTATGCCACTTGTTTCATACCCTTTCCAAGACAAATACTCATTGAATGGATATGTAAGCATAATCAGCTGTAGTACTTAAAAGGTTACTTTCATGTCTTAAATTTTTTTTGCTGAGTACTTATAGTTAAATTTTCATAAGATAAATATGCATATTATGCAAAGCCTCTGTATTTTGATATGTAACTGACTTCACTTTAGGATTGAATTATTATGTAATCCAAAAACTAAAAAACTAGAGCAAATTTTTATTCAAATCATTAAAATCCATATCCCAGTGACTGATTTTATCTTGAAGTATTGATATACAATCTTATATTGGTTTCAAGTATACAGCACAATGGTTCACCAGTTTACCCATATTATTAAATCCTTACCCCTGCTAGTACAGTTACTGTCTGTCAACATAGTAAGAAATTACAGAATCATTGACTATATTCTCCATGCTGTACTACTGATTTGATCTTGAATATGAGAATTTTCCAAGAGTGTTAATTATAAGAGTATAAACTCCTCAAAATTTGTTGTGTTTCATAGCCCCATAGTGTGGCTTTTCCTCCCTTTTCTTATTTTGGTCTTGCCCAGAAAGTAATCCTGAAATAATAACTGCCCTTAATCTCTTCATAGATTATCATTTCTCTTCCTTTTTTCTCACCTTTTCTAATACTATGTATTTGTTACAGAAAAAGTTTTTCTTTGAAAATGGATAGGATGTCTTCAGAGGCAAATGAAGAAAAGTAAGTTCATGCAATGCAAGCTAAAAATGTTAAACTCTTTATCGGAGAAAGTTACTGTTGCAACTAGTGAAACCTATTGATAACTTCTGAAATGTTTTTCTATTCTGTCCCAGAGAAAAAAAGTAAACGTTACAAAGTCATAGCTCTCCTTGCCATATCTTTGTATAAACACATATAGAGTCAAAACTGAGAGGGACTTTAGGGACCACCTCCCATCTCTTCAATTTAAAGATAAGAAAATGGAGGCCCAAGGAAATGAAGTGATCACAAACTCGTGGCCTGTTTACAGCCTATGGATGTAACTTTTTTCCTAAACAGTGTTGTTTCTAAATTTCTGAATTAGTTGCCAAAATTTCAAAATCTCAGGATTTCATAGAACAATTAGATTTTCAGTTTCTCTTCAGAAATCAAATGTGGCAACACTGCGCTTATGTTCTTGCTTGGCAAAGATTACTGAGTGGAATAATGGGTGTGACCATTAGACCCAGCAGGAAACTCTTTGTAGTTTCAACACCTCCTATTTTTCTTGCACCTACTAAATTATCTGTTTGGCCTAAGTAAGTATTTGAATTTTCAAAACCTGGCCTAAACATCAAACAGTAGTAAAACCAGAACTAGAGTCTCTTGATTTAAAACCCATTTATATTATAATTGTATCTCTGTAAAATATGATAAATTATGTTATACTGACTGTTTTTCAAGAGATAGTCTTCTAGTATACAATATGTATTTTAAAACACTGACTTCCTATATAATAAACTTAAAGCCTTGTAATACAAAATTTGCAAAGTGAAAGTGATGCCAAGGGTCAAGTGAAAGGGACAGCCAATTTAAAAGCATGTAAGGGATGCTATGTGATAGCTTTTGAAAACTGAGTTTTTACCAGTTTGTATATATTTTTTTCTCTTTCAGTGACAATACAGAAAGACCTGTTAGAAGACGACATTCCTCAGTAAGAAACACTTATTTAAGTTAATAATTGTTGTCTATTATTGAATGATGACTATCTACCACAGTAATTTTGACTGTGGCATCACCACCCACCCCCACTGACTCCTCTGGGTAATGACTCAAATATTTACCCTGGTAACACAATTCTATAAATATACTAAAATTCATGTTTTATTAATTTGATGGTAATATAAATTGTATGCTGTGTGAATTATACTTCAATGAAGTTTTAAAATGTGTTTAAATAATACAGCAAGACAAAAAAATCCAACTGAAACATTTGAGCACAAAATTTTTGGATTTTTTAAGTGAAAAATCCAAAGATAGGAGTGACTTTAGGTATAACTTAACTGAGCAGGGGTTTCAAAATTATCGCCAATACTAGGATTTCCTTTCACTTTTCTTTTTTACTCTGACTGCTTCCTCTAGGTAATCTCCATTGTCAGACAGGTTCTTTCCCCATGATTATTACAGTACATCTAGCTTCCCCAACTTCCAGGTTCAAGCTGTATATGAAAAATAGTGTCTGTTTCCTAAAGATAAAAAAGCAAAAGACTGTTGGCTCTATTATCTTGAAAGGGTCAAGTTCTCATTCCTGAACCAATCCCTATTAATGAGACAATATCATGTGCATATTCTAGACCAACGCTACATGTTGTACCCTAGAGTTGTGGTGGAACTTCACCCAGACCACACGGAATGAGAGTAGGCAAAATAATTTGGGAAGGTAGGCAGGGAGAAGAGAATAGATGGCAAATGTTTAAACCAGCTGTAAAATAATAGTATTAAGCAGTATGAATTTGAAAAGTTTTTTAGAGTTTTTTACAGGAATTCTAGCATCTCTACCTTTCTATTCATGGTATAACTTGAACTGATTATTAATAGATATATGCCAGATTTTCTTGAATAATTCTAACTCTTCTAGATTTTGAAACCCCCAAGGAGTCCTCTTCAGGACCTCAGAGGTGTAAATGAAACAGTTCAGGTAAGTCTCTAGTACAGATGCTTTATAGATGACTATTTTCAGTGATATTTTTAATAGTCAGGTACTTTATTAGCATATGAAGAGAGAACATCATAAATGATTCTCTGTAGAATGTGCATAAGTAAGCATCCCATGGCCTTCAAATTAAAATACAAATACATGAGTAAGGAGGCACTCCTGATTTTTAACCCCTATTTATTCTTCGAGTCTTCTGTCTTTCTATTCTCTCATATGTTTCTTATCATTCAGAATTGCATACTAGCAATTCGACACAAAGAACATATATTTAAGGAAGGTGATTACTGTCACTTACCTTTTCTTTCTTCTTTTAAATGAATGGTTATTTTGCCATCAAGAAGAAAGCACAGAGCAAGGTTATGGAGCCTGTTATAGGGGCCAAATATGATATGAACTGTCAAGCCATAGAGAATTTACAGATGATGTTCCCTCTCTTCAGATGTTGGTTATTTTGCTATCATGAAGAAAGCACAAAGCAAGGATATGGGGCCTGTTATAGGGGCCAAATACGATACGAACCGTCAAGCCTTAAAGAATTTACATATGATGTTCCCTCTCTTCAGATATCTAGTTCCTCGTTCTTTTTTCTTCTAACAGTTTATTAAAAATTTTTTTCAAATAAACTGAAAAGTAGAAAGAATGTGAATGCTCATGTAGTCATCACCTAGATTGTTTAATTAATATTTTATCATACTTGCTTTATGATAAATTTGTAGCCCTCTTTATTTGGCAATTCCTATTTGTCCTTCAAGACAAGTCATAGCTCTCCTTGCCATATCTTTGTATAAACACATATAGAGTCAAAACTGAGAGGGACTTTAGGGACCACCTCCCATCTCTTCAATTTAAAGATAAGAAAATGGAGGCCCAAGGAAATGAAGTGATCACAAACTCGTGGCCTGTTTACAGCCTATGGATGTAACTTTTTTCCTAAACAGTGTTGTTTCTAAATTTCTGAATTAGTTGCCAAAATTTCAAAATCTCAGGATTTCATAGAACAATTAGATTTTCAGTTTCTCTTCAGAAATCAAATGTGGCAACACTGCGCTTATGTTCTTGCTTGGCAAAGATTACTGAGTGGAATAATGGGTGTGACCATTAGACCCAGCAGGAAACTCTTTGTAGTTTCAACACCTCCTATTTTTCTTGCACCTACTAAATTATCTGTTTGGCCTAAGTAAGTATTTGAATTTTCAAAACCTGGCCTAAACATCAAACAGTAGTAAAACCAGAACTAGAGTCTCTTGATTTAAAACCCATTTATATTATAATTGTATCTCTGTAAAATATGATAAATTATGTTATACTGACTGTTTTTCAAGAGATAGTCTTCTAGTATACAATATGTATTTTAAAACACTGACTTCCTATATAATAAACTTAAAGCCTTGTAATACAAAATTTGCAAAGTGAAAGTGATGCCAAGGGTCAAGTGAAAGGGACAGCCAATTTAAAAGCATGTAAGGGATGCTATGTGATAGCTTTTGAAAACTGAGTTTTTACCAGTTTGTATATATTTTTTTCTCTTTCAGTGACAATACAGAAAGACCTGTTAGAAGACGACATTCCTCAGTAAGAAACACTTATTTAAGTTAATAATTGTTGTCTATTATTGAATGATGACTATCTACCACAGTAATTTTGACTGTGGCATCACCACCCACCCCCACTGACTCCTCTGGGTAATGACTCAAATATTTACCCTGGTAACACAATTCTATAAATATACTAAAATTCATGTTTTATTAATTTGATGGTAATATAAATTGTATGCTGTGTGAATTATACTTCAATGAAGTTTTAAAATGTGTTTAAATAATACAGCAAGACAAAAAAATCCAACTGAAACATTTGAGCACAAAATTTTTGGATTTTTTAAGTGAAAAATCCAAAGATAGGAGTGACTTTAGGTATAACTTAACTGAGCAGGGGTTTCAAAATTATCGCCAATACTAGGATTTCCTTTCACTTTTCTTTTTTACTCTGACTGCTTCCTCTAGGTAATCTCCATTGTCAGACAGGTTCTTTCCCCATGATTATTACAGTACATCTAGCTTCCCCAACTTCCAGGTTCAAGCTGTATATGAAAAATAGTGTCTGTTTCCTAAAGATAAAAAAGCAAAAGACTGTTGGCTCTATTATCTTGAAAGGGTCAAGTTCTCATTCCTGAACCAATCCCTATTAATGAGACAATATCATGTGCATATTCTAGACCAACGCTACATGTTGTACCCTAGAGTTGTGGTGGAACTTCACCCAGACCACACGGAATGAGAGTAGGCAAAATAATTTGGGAAGGTAGGCAGGGAGAAGAGAATAGATGGCAAATGTTTAAACCAGCTGTAAAATAATAGTATTAAGCAGTATGAATTTGAAAAGTTTTTTAGAGTTTTTTACAGGAATTCTAGCATCTCTACCTTTCTATTCATGGTATAACTTGAACTGATTATTAATAGATATATGCCAGATTTTCTTGAATAATTCTAACTCTTCTAGATTTTGAAACCCCCAAGGAGTCCTCTTCAGGACCTCAGAGGTGTAAATGAAACAGTTCAGGTAAGTCTCTAGTACAGATGCTTTATAGATGACTATTTTCAGTGATATTTTTAATAGTCAGGTACTTTATTAGCATATGAAGAGAGAACATCATAAATGATTCTCTGTAGAATGTGCATAAGTAAGCATCCCATGGCCTTCAAATTAAAATACAAATACATGAGTAAGGAGGCACTCCTGATTTTTAACCCCTATTTATTCTTCGAGTCTTCTGTCTTTCTATTCTCTCATATGTTTCTTATCATTCAGAATTGCATACTAGCAATTCGACACAAAGAACATATATTTAAGGAAGGTGATTACTGTCACTTACCTTTTCTTTCTTCTTTTAAATGAATGGTTATTTTGCCATCAAGAAGAAAGCACAGAGCAAGGTTATGGAGCCTGTTATAGGGGCCAAATATGATATGAACTGTCAAGCCATAGAGAATTTACAGATGATGTTCCCTCTCTTCAGATGTTGGTTATTTTGCTATCATGAAGAAAGCACAAAGCAAGGATATGGGGCCTGTTATAGGGGCCAAATACGATACGAACCGTCAAGCCTTAAAGAATTTACATATGATGTTCCCTCTCTTCAGATATCTAGTTCCTCGTTCTTTTTTCTTCTAACAGTTTATTAAAAATTTTTTTCAAATAAACTGAAAAGTAGAAAGAATGTGAATGCTCATGTAGTCATCACCTAGATTGTTTAATTAATATTTTATCATACTTGCTTTATGATAAATTTGTAGCCCTCTTTATTTGGCAATTCCTATTTGTCCTTCAAGACTCAGTTTTGTGTCACTTCTCTAAGAAAATCATCCCTTAACACTTTCTATTATAATTGTTTATTAATGTCCATTCTAAATTGAGAACTCCCTGAGGGCAGGAATTCACAGTAAATAAAATGTGGAAACAACTCAGTATCTACTGACAGATGAATGCATAAACAATAAATGTGGTATCAATGTGGTAATCAATAATGGTAATATTATTCAGCCTTAAAAAAAGAAGGGAATTCTGACACATACTACAACATACATGAACCATGAGGACATTATACTAAGTGAAATAAAACAGTAACAAAAAACAAATACTTTATGATCCTACTTATGAAGTGACTAGAATAGTCAAATTCAGAGACGAAGTAGAGTGGTGGTTGCCTGAAGGTTGTCTGGGGAAGGAGAGTTGTTCAATGAATATAGAGTTTCAGTTTTGTAAGATGGAAAGAGTTCTGGAGCTGTTATGTAGAGGTACTTAACACTACTGAACTATACACTTAAAAATGGTTAAGATGCTGAGTACATAATGCTAAGTGAATTAATCTAATCACAGAGTGACAAATACTGAATGATTCCATTTATGTGCGGTATCAAAATAGTCAAATTCAAAGAAGCAGAGCAGAACAGTGGTTGTGAGGAACTGAGAGGACAGAATGGGGAGATGCAAATCAACAGGTATGAAGTTTCAGTTATGTAAGATGAGTAAGTTCTAGAGATCTGCTGTACAACATTGTGCCTATATATAGTTAACAGTGTTGTACACTTAAAAATCTGTTAAGAGGGAGATCTCTTGTTAAGTGTTCTTATCACAAAGAAGTTAATATTTAAATTAAAAAGTGGTTAAGAAGATAAACTCTGTCATATGTATTTTGCCACAATTAAAAAAATATTTGAATCCCCAAAATAGTATAATAAGGTTACTATAACAGCCCCCATATCCTTGCTCTGTGCCTTCTTCTTGATAGCAAAATAACCATTCATTTAAAAGGAGAAAGAAAAGGTAAGTGACAGTAACCACTTTCCTTAAATATATGTTCTTTGTGTCAGTATGTTTATTATCACTCACACTGAAAATCATATTCATGTTTGTTAAGTGCTTCTACATTGGGATATTTTGGAGAATCAAAATAATAACTATCAAATTAATAATGATATCAAATTAATTCAGAATAAGATGTGGTCTCTGTAGTACTTTGGAGACCTAATTCACAGTGGTTTCGTTAAGAATCACACCATATATTCTCTGCCCTCAGGAATCCAATGTTTTGAGAAATAGGAAAAGCTCTCGACGAGTCAGCTTTGCAGATACTATAAAGTAAGTTCTAAAAGGAGAAAAAAGTAAAATGTTACAGGTAATGCTTTTTTGTCAAACCAGATATGTTGATACTATCTGACTTGGATAAATCTGTTTGATTTAGATATGTAAAAAGTTGTTATTCAGCATTATGCTTGAAAGTGAAACATTGAAAGCATCCTCTAAAGTCAGGAACAAAAAAACAACTGTGTCTTACCACTGTTATTTAATATTGTATTGGAATTGTTAACCAACAAAGCTAAACACCCTAGAGAAATTGAAGTTATAAAAATTGGAAAAGATAGGGGTAATATATATTATATATATATAACCTTTTGCAGATTAAATGACTGTATATGAGGAAAATCTAACAATATCAATTGAAGTACCTCTCCAGGTAGTAAGTAGCAGAACACAAAATTAATAGGTGGAAATCAATTTCCTATATATGTAATAACCAGATAGAAGATAAATGTCTTTTTTCCCATTATGTTATAATTTGTTGCTGTAAATTTAACAACAAATACATTTAAAGAATAAAGCATTGCTTTAAAGAAAAAGAATAAAGCATTGCTGAAGGATACTAAGGAATTGTACAAATGAAGACATTAAAAATTCCTGATTAAAAAAGATTCAACATCATAAAGATGTTACTTGTTCCTAAATTAATTTATTAATTTAATGTAGTTTTTATAAGTAGTGTTTTCATGATTATTCTCTTGATGTTAAACAGAATATTTGTATTGCCTTATTGACTCAAAAGTTGTTTAATAGAGAATTTAAAAATAACTAGATGGTAAGGACATTTTGTTGTCATTAATTTTAATATAGTCAGAGAAGGTTAATCTGTGTTTTGATTTCTATTGAAATTTTCTTTGTGATCTTGTATATGGTCAATTTTTGTGAATGATTCATATGTACTTGAAAAAAAGATATAGTTTATATTTTAGAGTGTAAAGTTTGATATATATATATATCAATTATATACACCTTATACCTTCTGTTATTTGGGAGTTGTATAATCATCTAGTTTTAGTCACTTTAATCTGTCATGAATTATGAGAGGTAAATTAGTCTCTTCTTGATGGTACATCTCACTCTTTATATTTCCAATAGTTGTTTATGAATGTTGATTCAATGTTCATTGGTGCATTGTCATCACTGTATCTTCATTCAGAATTGTACCTTGTATGAAATACTCATCTTTGCTTTGTTACTGCTTTTTGACCCTGATTCTACCTAGACAGAAATACTAAGATTTCTGTCTCTGATATATTTTTGTTTTGACATGCCTGGTATACCTCTATGTATTGTTTGACTGTATATGAGCAATGATAATATTAGTCCATTTCCTTTTCCCAACCCAATTTTAATCAATAATATATCTTCATACTATTAAATATGCTTAAATTTCAATTAGAACTATTGTTATATGTCCTTTGGCAGTTAAAATAAATGACATAACTAGCATACTTGTACCTTTCATAATATTCCCCCCTCCCCCCTCATTCCTCCTCTGCCCCACCTTCTTTTTTTTTTTTTTGACCGTACCGAATTGACTTTATTGTTTTAAAACCAGCCCCTTCTGCCCACCACCACCCAGCACCCCCGCCCCAAGGGGAAAAGAATTTATAATAGATGTCTCTCCAGCGTGTGCCTGTTTTCTTCTCTCTGATGGCAGCTTGGAACCCTGAGGCAGTGACTCTAATAGTGTGTCCTAATATCCAGCATTTGTTTGACTAATATTTAGTGACCAACAAGTCTCATCGTAGCCACCATGGATCAATACCCAATTTAGTGGCACCCCCTTCTTTTTCTTTTAAATACTTTTTTTTTGGTATCATTAATCTGCAATTACATGAGGAACATTATGTTTACTGGACTCCCACCATCAACAAGTCCCCCACCCCCAACCCTTACAGTCACTGTCCATCAGCGTAGTAACATGCTATAGAATCACTACTTGTCTTCTCTGTGTTGTACAGCCCTCCCCGTGACCCCCCTACATTATGTCTGCTAATAGGAATGCCCCTTTTCCCCCCTTATCCCTCCCTTCCCACACACCCTCCCCTTTCCTTTTGGTAACTGTTAGTCCATTCTTGGGTTCTGTGAATCTGCTGCTGTTTTGTTCCTTCAGTTTTTTTCTGTTCTTATACTCCACAGATGAGTGAAATCATTTGATACTTGTCTTTCTCCACCTGGCTTATTTCACTGAGCATAATACCCTCTAGCTCCATCCATGTTGTTGCAAATGGTAGGATTTGTTTTCTTCTTATGGCTGAATAATATTCCATTGTGTATATGTACCATATCTTCTATATCCATTCATCTACTGATGGACACTTAGGTTGCTTCCATTTCTTGGCTATTGTAAATAGTGCTGCGATAAACATTGGGGTGCATCTGTCTTTTTCAAACTGGACTGCTGCATTCTCAGAGTAAATTCCTAGGAGTGGAATTCCTGGGCGAAATGGTATTTCTATTTTGAGCTTTTTGAGGAACCTCCATACTGCTTTCCACAATGATTGAACTAGTTTACATTCCCACCAGCAGTATAGGAGGGTTCCCCTTTCTCCACGTCCTCATCAACATTTGTTGTCTTTTGGATGGTGGCGATCCTTACTCGTGTGAGGTTATATCTCACTGTGGTTTTAATTTATATTTCTCTGATGACTAGCGATGTGGAGCATCTTTTCATGTGTCTGTTGGCCATCTGAATTTCTTCTTTGGAGAAGTGTCTGTTCAGATCCTCTGCCCATTTTTTAATTGGATTATTTGCTTTTTGTTTGTTGAGGTGGGTGAGCTCTTTATATATTTTGGATATCAACCCTTTATCAGATCTGTCATTTATGAATATATTCTCCCATACTGTAGGATGCCTTTTTGTTCTATTGGTGGTGTCCTTTGCTGTACAGAAGCTTTTCAGCTTGATATAATCCCACTTGTTCATTTTTGCTTTTATTTCCCTTGCCCGGGGAGATATGTTCATGAAGAAGTTGCTTATGTTTATGTCCAAGAGATTTTTGCCTATGTTTTTCTCTAAGAGTTTTATGGTTTCATGACTTATATTCAGGTCTTTGATCCATTTTGAGTTTACTTTTGTGTATGCGGTTAGACAATGATCCAGTTTCATTCTCCTACATGTAGCTGTCCAGTTTTGCCAGCACCATCTGTTGAAGAGACTGTCATTTCCCCATTGTATGTCCATGGCTCCTTTATCGTATATTAATTGACCATATATGTTTGTATTAATATCTGGACTCTCTATTCTGTTCCACTGGTCTGTGGGTCTGTTCTTGTGCCAGTACCAAATTGTCTTGATTACTCTGGCTTTTTAGTAGAGCTTGAAGTTGGGAAGTGAGATTTCCCCTGCTTTATTCTTCTTTCTTAGGATTGCTTTGGCTATTTGGGGTCTTTGGTGGTTCCATATGGATTTTTAAACTGTTTGTTCCAGTTCATTGAAGAATGCTGTTGTTATTTTGATATGGATTGCATTGGAATACTGTTGGTATTTTGATAGGGATTACACTGAATCTGTAGATTGCTTTAGGCAGGATGGCCATTTTGACAAAATTAATTCTTCTAGCCAAGAGCATGGGATGAGTTTCTATTTGTTAGTGTCCTCTTTAGTTTCTCTTAAGAGTGTCTTGTAGTTTTCAGGGTATAGGTCTTTCACTTCTTTGGTTGTTTTACTCATAGGTATTTTATTCTTTTTTATGCAATTGTGAATGGAATTGTTTTCCTGATTTCTCTTTCTGCTAGTTTGCCCCTTTTTTTAGTTATAGCCTTTCTATCTCTCTTCCTCCTCCTACCCTCAACCCTGGCATTTGATATTAGGACATCTGTCACATTTGTTTGTCTTCATTTTATTATATGTATTTAAATGTTCACATTCCTTTGCTGTAGTTGCCCTAATTCTTATCATTGACTTTAGTTTGTTTTCTTATTTTTTCCCAAAGAAGAACTCATTGAAACAATATTTCCTGGATTCTTGGGTGCTCAGACTGTTAGCTAATAGACTTTATACTTGAAGAAGAAGATTCTTTTTCAATTCACATTTTCTTTCCTTAAGGAACTTGTTAATGTGGTTCTCTGTTGTCTTCTGGCATTGAATGTTTCTATGAAGTCCTGAGGAGTGCATGATTTTTTCCTCCTCATAAATGATTGGATGTTTTTTTAACAGGCTGCCTAACAGATTTTTTTTTTTCCTTTGTCTAAAGTTTACTCACTTTACTAAGATACATCTCCATTTTGACTGCTTTGGGTCTTGAATCTTGAGTTAACATTTAAATATTCTTTTCTATTCCATTATCTTAGATTTCTTTAGGGACTCTATTATTTATAAACAAATTATGTTTATATTCTTGCTTTTTCTCTATATTATTTTCTCTTTTAATTCCTTTTATTTTATTTTGCTTTGTCCATTTAAAGAATTTTCTCTGTTCTTTACTATATTTTTCAGAGTGCTTATTCACCCTTATGCCCCTTTCAGTTTTGCCTTAATTCTGTGCTAATATTTTTTCTTCTGTTTCTTTTTTGCGTTTTCTCTATTTGTGTTTCATTTCTTGTCTCACCACCTCTTCTTTGAGTTCTTGTATTTCTGCTTCCATTTCTGTTCCTTCATAGAGATGATTACTTTGTTACACTCTTTAGGTCCATAGCAAACTTTTTAAATCCCTCTGCTGTGGGACATCATTTTTTTTGCCGAGTGCTTTTCTTATGTGAATAAATTATGTTATGCTGTTGTTTTAATTTTAGGTTGTCTTTCTAGATTCTTTTTTTTTTACTCATTGAATGGATTAGGTTTTCTTGAACCAGCTATTTGCAAGACATTCCTGTGGAGGGGGCAGAGATGTAATATTCCAGGGCAGCTCTTTTTCTATAAAGGCTCTTTTTAGCTATAAACACAGACTGTCTACTTCATATCAGCTTTTTCAAATTTTATTTTTTTGTATACCTCAGACAGCTTCAACTTGGACTTCTGTGATGTGATCTCCTAGATAAATTTAACACTAAATTTA